ATCATCACCATCATCACCATCATCACCATCATCATCTCACAATCGATCTGACTATCGATCTCACAATTCATCTCACTATCGATCTCACAATCGATCTCACATTCGGTCTCACAACCGATATCACAATCGATCTCGCAATCGACGTCATCATCATCACCATCATCAACATCAACATCATCAACATCATCATCATCATCATCAGCATCATCATCATCACCATCATCATCATCATCATCATCACCACCACCACCACCACCACCACCACCATCATCATCATCATCATCATGATCATCATCATCATCACCATCACCATCACCATCACGATCATTATCATTGTCATTCGCATCATCATCATCATCATCATCATCATCATCAGCATCATCATCATCATCATCATCATCATCATCATCATCATCATCATCATCATCATCATCATCATCATCATCATCATCATCATCATCATCAGAGAGAGCGTGATCCACCGCCGCTTTACTGTGGAAAATTGCCAACCTTTTCCTCCGGAACCCACGGGGGGGGGGGGTTTCTCCCCCCCCCCCCCTCCGAAAATCCCCCCCCCCCTGCTGGAACCCCTCCCCCCCCCCCCCCCCCTCCCCTCCCGGCAAAAAAAAAAAAAAAAAAAAAAAAAAAAACCCCCCCCCCCTCCGAAAATCCCCCCCCCCTGCTGGAACCCCCCCTCCTTCCCCCGGCAAAACCCCCCCCTTCCCCTAACCCCCCCCCCTCCCCCCTCCCCCTCGAAAACCGGGGGGGGTCACTACCGGTTCGAACCCCTCCCCCCCCCCTCCCCCCGGATCCGGAAAACCGGGGGGGGTCACTACCGGTTGGAACCCCCCCCCCCCCCCCCCTCGAAAACCGGAGGGGGGTCACTACCGGTTCGACCCCCTCCCCCCCACGCACCGCCAGCAAACGACTCCCGGTCCCTACCACCGCTCGCATCACATCCCCCACTGTTGTTCCCAGCACCACTGTCCTCACCACCACTGTCCCCACTGGTTCCACCACCGTCCCTATTGTCCCCACCAGTGCCCCCACCACTGTCGCACTGTCCCCACTGTTCCCACCACTGTTCCCACCACGGTTCCACTCTCCCCACTGTCTCCACGGACCCAACCACTGCCTATCCCCACTGTCCCCACTGTCCCACTGACTCCTCCGCTGTCCCACTGAGCTGTCCCACTGTTCCCACCACTGTCCCCACTGTCCCCACCACTGTCCCCACTGTACCTCTGTCCCATTGTCCCACCGCCGTCCTCGCCACCGCCTTTACCAGTGTCCCCACCACCATTGTACCCTCCACTGTCCCAGTGTTTCCACCTCATTCCCACTGTCCCCACACCACTGTCCCCACCACCACCGTTCCCACCACTGTCCACTGTCCCCCCTGTTCCCACCATTGTCCCCACCACTGTCCCCACCACTACCGTCCCCACCACTGTCCCACTGTCCCCCCACTGTCCCCACCACTGTCCCGCTGTCCCCTCACCACTGTCCCCACCAACACCGTCCCCACCACTGTCCGCACCCCCACTCGGTTTTCGAGAGGGGGGGGGGGGTTCGAACCGTAGTGACCCCCCCCCCCTTTTCATGATGAGCTGGGGGGGGGGGGGGTGGGGGGGTTCGAACCGGTAGTGACCCCCCCTGGGTTTTCCGGAGGGGGGGGGGGGGGGGGGGAGGGGTTCGAACCGGTAGTGACCCCCCCCGGTTTTCCGCCAGCAGCGGTAGAACACGCTCTTTCCATCATAATCATCAACATCATGATCGGGACACCGACGGGACACCGACGGGACACCGGCGGGACACCGGCGAGACACCGCGCGCCACCGGCCGCCCGGTGGAGAATCATTTGGTCCGACCGCGCCTCAGCCACAAAGGACACCACCGGGACACCGGCGGGACACCGCGCGCCACCGGCCGCCCGGTGAAGAATCATTTGGTCCGGCCGCGCCTCAGCCACAGGAGACTTTCCTCTCGCCCGCCCACGCAGCTTCGCCTCGCCCGCACGCACGGCACGCACGAACACGAAACCGAAATCGATTTCCTGGTAGGGAAGCTCTCCGTTCCACTTCGATCTCACCCCCTCACCTCCGATTTTCCCATATTTTCCGGGTTTTTGTCTTCCCCCCCATTCCCCATATGTTCCCATATTTTCATGGGAATCGACGATTACTTGTGTCTGTGTGTTTTTTCCCCTCCTGATAGTTTTGCCCCCCAGACAACTCTCTGTTGAGAGCCCTACGATCACCGCGACATAGCAGGCGTGGCGCTTGGGCACCCCAAAGGGGTGGGGGTGGTTGCCAGGGGCGTAACACTGGCCCATTCTCGCCAAGATTGCGGGATGTCTCAGGCGATTGGCTTTCTGTTGCCCCCCAGGCTTCCTTCTTTCGAGAGCCCGACATCCCAGGCGTGGAACTTGGGCCTCCCAACTGGGGTGCCGCAGAGTGGCGTAACACTCGCCCGTTCTCGCTCAAATGAATTTGTGGAGACGTCTCACGCGGTTTGCTCGTTGTTGCCCCCGAGACTCGCTTCTTTTGGTAGCCCGGTGATCACCGTGACATCGACGGCGTGGCACTTGGGCATGCCAAGTGGGATGCCGCGAGGGGGCGTGACACTCGCTCGTTCGTGCCCAGGTCGCGGGGATGTCTCAGGCGGTTGGCCTTATGGTTGCCCCCCACCCCCTCGGCTTGGAAGCCCCATGATCACCGCGACAGCAGGCGTGGCACTTGGGCACCCCACGGGGGAGCCGCCAGGGAGGGGGGCACTGGTGCGATCGCGCCCACCTTGCCGTCGCTCGGACGTCTATTTCCCGTGCATTTTTCGGTGTCGTGCGTTTTTTTGTGCTCGATGGTCCAGGATGATCCTTGATAGTTCTCGCCGAGAACAAATGCACACGTCCGAGCGATGCCAGGCCACATTGTGTGGAGGTCTCGGGTGGCTTGCTCGTTCTTGTCCCCCCAGGCTCCCTGAGAGCCCCATACGTAGAAGGCATGGAATACTAGGTGCTACACTTGCCAGATCATGCTCAGATCGTGGGACCTCTCAGGCGAAACGCTAGTTTGATTAGGCACCCCCGACCCCTCTCCTCTCAGAATCCCAAGACCATGCTGATGTAGCAGGCGTTGTTTTTGGGCACTCCTGGGGGGAGCCGCCAAGGTCCGCTCACCCAGACGCTCACAGGCGTCAGTGCCAGGAACTGAGCTGCACACGTGGGGACCCCCGCGACGAATCATGATTCCAACTGTTGACCCCCCAAACTTAGGGGGCAAACAAACCTACCTCGCTTTTGACCACCCTCGCTTCCAAGAGATACCATGCGATGCCAAACTACGGCCTGTACTGGTCGCTTGACGAGGAGGCGCGTGGTATGGCTTGGTTTTGCTTGGAAGCGAAAGCGGGGTAGGTAATTCACGCTCCAAGACTTCTGCTCGCAGACGGGTGCGCGGTTTCAGCCCACAGGCAGCTCGACTGCGGCTGCCCGGCGCTGCGGCCCCCGTGAACCCCCGAGCGGTCGGCGGTCCGCGGTGCCCCGCTCGCCGACCGGAGGCGGTGCGGAGGCCGCGGCTCCCTGCGCGGAGGCCCGGGGAGCGGGGGCGGGCTCCACGTCCCGCTGGTGGAGGCCGGCCCGCGAGAAGCTCGATGGGGAGATCGACGGCCTCGGCGGGCCTCGGCCGCCGCCGGGCGGCGACGGCCTCGACGGGGAGTTCGACGGCCTCGGCGGCGTGCACCGCGCCTGCATCACCGAGGCCGGTGGGGGCGGCTCGAGCGCGCCGACTCCCGAGGAGCTCTCCGACGGCAGCCTGCCAGGGAAGGCCAGCCCCCCCTCGAGCCCGCGGCCGGAGGCGACGCTCGGAGGCCCTTTCTGTGCCTCGCCGCTTCTGCTTGGCGGCGCGCACGGAGGCGTGGGACGAGAAGGGCGGCCTTCTGAGAAGGCACGGGGGCCTCTGGGGGGCTTCCCTGCCTCGTATGCCTGCGGAGGGCGCCACCTTCGCGCCACCACCAGGCAAACTCGGGCCAAGAACGCGGCCCCAGACCCATCAAGGAGCCTATGTTCTGGCAGACTACTCGATACGCGGCCAGCAGTTGCGAAGACGGGGGCAGGGTGGGCCGAGGGCAGTCAAAAATGATGGGAAGAAGCCGCGATCCTATCCCTATCCCTAAGATTGATAGGCCCAACTGCGATGACAGTCTCAGGGATGCGCCCTCAGACGCTGAGGAAATGCTCGAGATCGGCATCACAATCAGGTTATACAAATTATCTGGATAGGGATGTGCTCCAGGCTGGGAAGCCGATCCTGCTCCTCCCGTGCGGTGGCGACAGCGGCGGAAGAGGCAAGCCAGGGACGGCAAGCCAGCCCGCGGGCGGCCCGAATACGCGTCAAAGCCTACCAAGGACCGATCGGCCCGACATTCCTGTAGGCCTACGCAACCACGAAACGCTCTTAGAACGCAAGGCTATTCCAGTACTTCAGACCCGTGTTCTTAGGACATAACTCCTATTGGTCATACCTAGACGGTCCGAGCCGTACATGTTCTGAGAACGTGTAATGGAAACCACGAGCGGCTCTTGGAGCTCTTTTGGAGTCCCGAGACGGTGCGGTGACAGACCCTGCCTGCGGTGACCTCGGAACCCCAAGAGATCTCACCGCACGGTCCGTCACCGCACGGTCTTGGGACCCCGGAGGCCCCTGTTGCCCGAGACATCCTCGGAGAACGACCCGAGTCCCAAAACCGTGCGGTGACCCCGAATCCCCACCGACTCACCGCACGGTGTGGTCACCACCCCGTTGGGGGGCCCCCGAATTCCTGGGGTGAGCCTACAGGCAAGCCAGGACGCCTCGCCACTGCTTGACAGGAGCCCGCCCTGCGCGGCGTTTTCTTCTCCCCCTGGGCGGGCCCCGCGGGGCCCCGGGCGGATTGGAGCAGGCCCGCGCCGTCGGCGCCGACTGCCGGCGGGCTGGCCAGCCACACGCGGCCAGGCGCACGCGTCAGAGCTCGCCCCCCGCGGGCGCCCCTGGCCGCCCGGGCCCGGCAGGGCGGCCGGGGTGCTGCTGCCGCAGGTCCGCGTCGTCGACGCCGAGCATGGACTCCACCATGCCCAGCGCCGCGGAAACGGCCGCCAGGCAGGTGGCCGTGTCGTCCACGCGCAAGCTCTGGGGCCGGCCCTCCCTCTGCAGCTGCGCGGGGTGGCGCACGAAGGCGCCGCGCAGGCGCCAGGGCTCGGCCAGGGCGCCGAGCTGGGCGCCCTCCTCCGAGGCGAAGTCCTGCGGCACCTGGAAGAGTCGGATGTCCTTGTCCACCAATTCGATCACCAGCTGCGCGAGGCTCGAGTCCTGCAGCAGCGTCGCCAGGGGCGCAAGGCCGACCACGGGGCCGCAGGTGCACTGCTCGCTGACGTTGATGCCTGGGAGAACCTCGTCCCGGTACCGCTCGGCATGGGCCCTCGCCAGCTTCTCCAGGGACTCGAGCTGTCTCCGGGGCGCCCTCGAGGTGTTCAAGCGGACGGCCGTGGCCGACGCCACAGAGTATGACCACATGTTGTCCTCCTTCGCACTCTTGAGCTGCTGGCGAACGGCTTTCCCGACTGTTGTCACGACCTTTTCGGCGGCCCCCTTCTCCTCGCGGCGATCGTCAGGCAGCTGCGCCGCGGCGAAGCTCAGCGCCTCCCACACGATGCCCAGCGTGTGGCTCGTGAGCGCCTGCTGGGGCAACGCCTGCGCCACGGCGTGCTCGGCGGCCGCGAACCACTGGGCAACGGCCGACCACTCCACCTGGGACCCCAGCGCCAGCTCGCAGCGAGCCACGGTGGCCATGGCGGTGGCGTGCACGGCCGGGCTGAGGGCCTCGCCGCGGCCCGACCCCGCCGCGCCCGCGAGGAGGAAGGCCTCGGCCCCGCCCGGCGCGCCTCCTCCCGCAGGGCTCGGCAGGGCGCCCCGCCGCAGCCCGAGGCCGGGGACGCCCTCCTGCCGCCGCCCCAGCGCCCGCAGCGCGGCCCGCAGGGCCCGGCGGCCGTAGCGGCCCTGCGCCTTCGGCGCCGCCCCCTCGCGAGGCAGCGTGCGGGGCACCGAGCAGAGGGCCCGGAGGCCCTCCAGCTTGCGGCAGACGCAGGCCTCCAGGGCCCCGGCGCTGCCAGCGGCGCCCGCGGCGCAGTCCCCCGCCGCCCAGGACCCGCCCGTGAGGTTCAGCTCGTACCTCCGGAACAGGTCCGGGAACGCCTTGCCGCCGCCGTCCGCCTCCATGCCCATGAACCACAGCAAGTGCGTCGCGGCCGCGTCGAGGGAGTCCGACCGCTGGGGCGGACGAAAGCGGGGGGGCAGCAAGAGGGGACGGGCGAGCGAGCCGGCTGCATATGTGCAGCTGCTCCTCCTGGCGCCAGAAAGGGGGCCCGGCGGCGGGGCCGAGACCGGCTCCACGCACTGCGTTTCGTGCCCCCCCCACCCTCCCTTCCCCGATCCCCCCCCACTCTGCAGGAGAGCCCAGAATCGAATCGATCAGTCGAGTCGGCGATCGAAATTCATCGGATCGGCGGAAATCGGCAGCCAAGTCGGGAAAAGTCGAATCGGCGGACATCGGCAGGCTGGTATGCCTCCAATGAGACATCGGAGCCCCAATCAGAATCCAGAGCCGAATCGAATCGGAAGCCCTCGAAGTCGAACCGAATCGAATCGGAGGAGTCGAAGCGAGCCCTGCCTTCCCGATCCACCCCCCCACTCTGTTGCGGCCTGATCATCCCTCCCGTGACGAGCCCCTCGCCATCGAGGAGGCCCCTCTACGCCCGCACTCGCCTGCCCACGACTCGGAGCGAGGCGGGGGGGGAGGGCTCGTCACGGCAGGGGCTGGCCTACCAGGGGTCGGCCAAGCCGCCCTCGACTGGGGGAGCTCGGGGATCTACTGACCCGGGTCAATCCAGACCAGGGTCGGTCAGGCCTTGCAGGATCCTGCAGGATCCTGCAGGATCCTGCTCCCACGCCCGGGTCAATGCGCCCCTGGCCCTGCAGGATCCTGCAAGATAAGCACTCTGACTGACTCAAATTTTCATTGACCCCCGTCACTTGAGCTCCGAGGAGCAAACCGTGCACCAGTACCGCCAATCCACGGACCTTTTCTGGATTTCAGGGCAACCTCGACCGTGGCCACGCTGGAAGGGTCGCGGTGTCGATACACCCTGCCCCGAGATCTGACGTTGCCCCCAAACTGCAACATCGCAGAAAATCACCGCTGGAGCCCCGGGCCCCATCTTTCTGCGGCATGTCTCGAGCCGCATCGATCCGTGAGGCTCCCAGGGCCCGGAACCCGGCGAAACCACGCCCGGCTCGAAACAAATTGCGGCGCCAGGACCTCGGGGTCTCCTCATCTGACTAGCCTTATGTCGGGCGTGTCCCCCTACAGGGTGATTTTCGACGAAAAAATACTAAACAAAAAATCCAAAAGGTCAAAACATACTAAAAAAATAATCCCCAGACTATGTTTGGACTATCTTTAAAAAATCAGTTTTGAGCATTTTTGATTTTTCGTCGAAAATCCACCTGTAGGGGGACAGGCCCGACATAAGACTGGCCCCTCTCGCCCGCCCCGAGACAGGCTCGCCCGCAGCTCCTCCCTGACGTGCGCCTGCAGCGCCATCGGCCTGCACCCGCCCGGCCGCAGGCAGCCCGCAGCCACCGCGGCCGCCGCCCAGCGGCGCGGCGGCCCGCGGGCGCCGCCGACCTCGGCTGCACGCAGGAGCGCCCCGCGCGGCTTCGCAGGGGGCGCGAAGGGGGCCAGACTCAGGCGCGCAGGCCGCTGCCATATCGCATCGCAGTCGGCGATCGGGGAGCCCCAGGATCGCGGGGATTTCTTGGACCGGCGATGGGCCCTCCTGGCGGCGCCCTCGCCGCCGCCCATGGCGCGCTTCTCGCGCCAGGGGGCGGCGGGAGGGTCCAGCGACGATCCAGGGAATCTGCGCGTAGGCCAGCACCGAGGGCCACTCCGGCGAAGGGTCACTCCTACGTGTGGCCCTTTCCTCTCCTCCTCCTCCTCCTCCTCCTCCTCCTCCTCCTCCTCTTCCTCCTCCTCCTCCTCCTCCTCCTGCTCCTCCTCCTCCTCCTGCTCCTCCTCCTCCTCCTCCTCCTCCTCCCCCTCCTCTTCCTCCTCCTCCTCCTCCTCCTGCTCCTCCTCCTCCTCCTCCTCCTCCTCCTCCCCCTCGACGACCAGCGGCCGCCGGCCGCCCGAGGGCGCCCGCGCGGCACGCGGCTGGGGCATCGCGTCGCCGCGGTGGCGCCGCCGCGGCGGCGTGAGGGCGGCGCGAGGGCGGGGTGGCGGGGCGGAGCCCCCCGCGAGGCGCCCGCGCGTCGGCCTAGAGGCCAAAGGCTTGCGCACGGGCACGGCGGCGGCACGGACCGTGCCAGGTGCGCCCCCACCACCGCTGCCTCCCCGCCCTCCCTGGGCTTCCCCGCACCTCCTCCCCCCGCCTCTGCCTCCTGCCCCTCTCCGCTCCTCCCCGTTCTCCCCGTTCGTGCCTCCTGCTCTCTTCCCTTCTGCCTCCTGCCCATCCTCTCCCCCTCCTCCCCCCACTCATCCTCCTTGTCCTCCTCCCCCCTCCTCCTCCTACTCGTTGTCCTCCTCACCTCCACCTTCGAACATGCTCACCCAAACAGCTCATGGGCATCGTATCTAGATGGGCTGGCGGGGATAATGACGCGAAGCATCAAGACTGCATATTTCTCGCGGCTGCCAGGTGGGGGAGACATGGCCCGATAACAACACTGCATGATCAATCGGCATCACATCGGAACATCGAATCGAATCGACGCGTGCGTCGGATCGGTTTGCGCCAGCACGGCATCCAGATCGGGCCGGATCGGCCGCGCCACGATGCACGGCAACGCCGCGCAAACATCTGCCAGCGTCGGAACTCCGATATATCAAATCGACTCGGATCGGGCTGGCCGACGTCGATATGGAATCGGGTCGACCAGATCGATATGGGCCCAGAGGGAGCATTTATCCGAAGGCATGCTACCCAAACGATGCTTGCACTCGAAGCTCTTTGCCGCTCGAATTGTAGAACATTGGATGGGTCTGTAGAGGTTTCGCCACTGAACGACACGTTGCCGCCCGTGTACGTACCGTGGCTTCGATGGCTCCGTCGAGCCTTCGCATCGTTGCCGCCCGTTGCCACCCGCGGTCGCTCCATGAACAAACCCTGCCCATGGTGGGATTGCCGAGGTGTCGCAAAATTGCTGCCCGATGCCACCCGCGGGCTGCCCCGTGGGAGCAAAGCTGGGCCACCTCAGCCCCCCAGCTGGCTCCACGGCCTAGGCCGGGCATGCCCTCCTACAGGCGGCCTTGGGAAGAGACATTCATAGCCACACATACTCAAAAACGCTCCCAGAGCAAGAGCCCACGCCCACAGCAGCACCCTTGGGGGGCGCGCCTCGGTGAAGTGCAACTCCAGGAGGCCCCTCCTGCCTGGGCGGGCGGGGGGGGGCGCATCCGCCCGCGCGAGGAATCGGGGATGGATAAAGCCCCCCTTTCGCAAAACGGGGTTTCGTGAAAACGACCTCGGGCCCAAACCTGGCGAGCACAAACCTGGAAAATCACGGCCGCGGCGCCCTCTCGAAAACCGACAACGGATACCCCCGAAAGAAACCTTCCACCCCCTCCCATGGGCAGGCAAGGAGGTGCGGGGGGTTCTGGTGGCGCGGGTTCCGGCGGCTTGGTCCCCTTTCCCGCCTGTGGACAGGGGGAAGAGGGGGGGGGAAGGGTCCGGTGGCGGAGGATGCGATGGCGTGGGGGAGGGGAAGGAGGTGTGCTGTGGCGTGTGAGTTCGAACGCGCCTCAGCTACAGCCTCGAGGCTGATCTTCAGCCTCTGGTGGGGTTGCGGGGATGGCTCTGCCGGGGAAGGAAGAGAGGGGGGGGGTGCGCGCGTGCGCGGGGTAATGTTTGTCTGCGTACGCGAGAAGGGGATCGGGGAAAGAGAGAGAGAGAGAGGTGGAACGGGACAAGAGCGGAAAACGGGGAACAAAAGGGGGGAAAACGAAAGTAGCGGTGAAATGCGTGACTGTTGTGTGGTGTGTGTGGGTGTTTGCGCTGTGTGCGTGGTGTGCTTATGCGTGTGTGTTGCCGGCGTGTACGTATGCATGTGCCTGCGAAGGTGGCGCGCATGTGTGAATGTGGTGTGTGTGTGTGTGTGTGTCTGTGTGTCGTGTGTGTGTGTGTGTGCGTGCGTGCGTGCGTGCGTGCGTGCGTGCGTGCGTGCGTGTGTGTGTGTGTGTGTGTGTGCGTGTGTGTGTGTGTGTGTGTGTGTGTGTGTGTGTGCGTGGTGTGTGTGTAGTGTGTGTGCGCGTGTGCGCGTAATGTCTAGGAGCGTGTGCGCGCGTGTCTGTCGGCGAAGTGTCGCCGCCCAGTCTGGGGGGCACCCCGAGCGACCCGAATCGGCGGCACCTGCCGAAGGCCACTTTCCTCTGAGGGCGCCTCTAGACATTCACGCGAGCAAGCTGTTGCCAGCAGGAGAAGCGCACAAGGAACGCAGTCACCTGTTTGGCACCCCGAAACACCCAAGTGCACGGGGACCGCTCTAGGAATGAGTAACCATGGAAGGACCTAAGAGAGAGCGAACCCGTGGCGCATTCCCAAAAAGGGGTGGGGGGCCCCCCGTCCCCCCTCAGCACCCTCACCCCCCTTGGACCTGCCCTGCCAGAAGCCCCCCCCCCCTTTTTATTCCGTCTTTCGGAAGCTCTACCCCCCCTCCATCCCTGTCGCGCAACGGAAGCTACCCCCTTTCCTTTGCCTGTCCAAAGGGAGGGGGGCTCATGTGCCCCCTCCCCTTGAACCTCCCCTGCCAGAAGCCCCCCCCCTCCATGTTTCTCTGCCCATCGGAAGCTACCCTCCCCCTCCCCTCCTTTCGCGCTTTGGAAGCTATCCCCCCCCGTCCCTTTCCAAAGGGGGAGGGGCTTACTTAGCTCCCCACCCAGTTTGAACCTCTCCTGCCAGAACCCCCCCCCCTTTGGGCTAAACGGAGGGGGGCTTGGAAGCCCCCCGCCGGGCTCAAGGAAAGAGCGCCGAAAACCAACAGAGCGCCGAAAACCCAAGAACCACCGAAAACCAAAATAATACGAAAACCAAAGAGCGCCGAAAACCAAAGAAACGCAGAAAACCGAAAGGGCACCGAAAACCACAACAGCGCCGAAAACCGAAGATGCCCCGAAAACCAAAAGGATCAACAAAACCCTAACAAGAACGCCGCAAACCAAAGGAACGTCGAACCTCAAAGGGCGCCGAAAACCAAGGTGCACCGAGCAGCAATAGGGAGCCGACATTAAAAGGGTCGCCAAACACCAAGTGGGCACCGAAAACCAAAACACTGCCGAAGACCAGAGGAGCGCCGAAAACCAAAAGTGTACCGAAGACCAAAACGGCGGCGAAAAATCAAAGGAGCGTCCAAAACAAAATGGGCGCCGAAAACCACAAGGGCGCCGAGAACCAAAGGAGCGCCCAACGCAGAAAGGGCGCCGAAAACCAACGGAACGCAGAAAACAAAGGGGACGCAGAAACCAAAAGGAGGACGAAAACCTACAACCCGCCGAATGCAAACAAGTGCGCCGAAAACCAAAGATGCGCAGGAAACCAAAAGGACACCCAAAAACCAAAAGGACATCGAAAACCGAAGGAGCACCGAAAACCAAGACGGCGCCGAAAACCAAAGGGGCGCCGAACACCCAAGGGGCACCGAAACCCAAATAAGCACCGAACATCCAAGAAGGGCCGACAACCAACGATGCGCCGAAAATCTAAAAAGGCGCCGGAAAAATACGTAGCCCCCCGCAGTTGAGGATAAGAGTGAGGGGGCGGCGAGGACGTCGTCAGTCTGCGAGGCTCTGAAGAAGCCCGCCGCAGGCGCCTAACTTTACAAATTCGCATTGAGCACGCCGCAGGCGCCGATTTTCTCGTTAAAGCAATGTGGGTGGATCGCGGGGTGGGTCGCGGAAGGGTCGCGGGGTGGGCCGTGGAGTGGGCCGCGGGGTAGGTCGCGGGTGGGTCGCGGGGTCGGTCGCAAGATGGGTCGCGGGTGGGTCGCGGATGGGTCACGGAGTCGGTCGCAAGTGGGTCGCGGGTGGGTCGCGGGGTTGGTCGCGGGGTGGGTCGCAGGGTGGTTCGCGGGGTGGGTCGCGGGTGAGTCGCGGAGTGGGTCGCGGGGGGGGTCGCGGGTGGGTCGCGGGCGGGTGGCACCTGTGCCGCTGGGTGCCCTCGTGGCGTCCCAGGAGAACAGGCGGGTTGGCAGCCCGATCGTCACCACAGCTCGACGGGGCTGTGGGAGAGACTCTTGCCCTGTGGTTGGCCAGCCACAGTAGGTGCGAGCCCGCCGTACCACCCCTGAGAGGCCCGATGAGGTTACTCGAAGGGGTCCCCCGACGTGGGGGGCGCCGGAACTTCACTCCTTCAGCGGGGCCTCCACTGCTTGAGGCCGGCGGCCAAGTGGGGGTGGTGCCGGTGGCCGGGTGTCCGGGTGGCATGTCGAGGCACCTCGCAACGGCGGCGCGGATAACGCATGGGGCGGGTCCGTGCCGCCGTTCGTGTTGCGAGGTCCGACTGCATGTGAATTCATGCAGGCACCTTGGGCACCTCCCTTCGGGTTGTGTCGCCCAGGCGTTCTGTCCGGGCGCAAAAAAAAAGGTCGCGGGCGGGTCACGGGGTGGCTTGCGGGTGGGTCGCGGGGTGGGTCGCGGGGTGGATCGCGGGGTGGGTCGCGGGGTGGGTCGCTGGGTGGGTCGCGGGGTGGGTCGCGGGTGGGTCGCGGGGGGGACGACGACAACAAGCAACAACAAAGCAACAAGCAGAATCCTCACCACGGATCCCCACTAGAGCCACGCACCCAGGGACAATGAATGACCGTTCGGCCCCCTCACTCTGATGTTGCTTCGAGCGATCCACACCGAAACCTCCAGCGCTTGCTCCCGACACCGCGCGATCGCCTAATCGGTCGACAAATGCCGAATCTGGCTTCAAGAACGTGTCAACCGTGCTCTACGTAGTCACGTTCTTTCATGTTAAACTCTATCATGTCCTGTTCCGTTCTCGACGGGCCGGCGTGACGCCTGTGACTTTAAATGCGTTGCCTGTTATGTTCAGATTCACCTTTACGTTTCTCCTCTGATTGAACATGCTATGGTATGCTCATCTCTGTCACCAAATGCTGCGAGATCGTATGCTGTGATCTGATATGTGCCACTATGCTCTGACATGAAGTGGTATGTCAACATAAAGTATAGCATGCTCTGTTCCGTGATGATGTTGGCAGATCGACGCATTACAATATTGTATGTAATCAATGACGATCTGTTATGGTGTGGTATGTCGCCTTCTGGTATGTCATGCTCTGATTTGGCATGTTATGTGATAGTATGGTTGTTGACGGCTCGGCGCTGTATAATATGTGCTGGTACGTCCTGCTAGTATGTGTCGCTGCTGTGCTCTGCTGTCGTGCTCTTGTATGTTCTGTGATTGCTGTGCCATGGTATGACATGTCCCGTCAATGTGTGTTATGCTATGCTCGGTTCTGTTATGCTATGTTGTGTTATGTCGTCTTCTGTTATGTCGTGTTCTGCTCTGTCGTTTTCTACCCTGACATTGATATGCTAGGTTATGGCAGGTTATGTCATGCTCGTGTTCTGTGCTGTCATGTTATCGTGTCTCGAGTTGTGCTATGGTGTGTTCGTCGTCGCTATGCTCTGCTGTCGTGGTATGGTATGGTATGTGATGATGTGTCATGATGAGTTGTGTTCTGTCAAAGTGCGTTATGTTATGCTCGGTTATGTTGTGGTATGGTGTGTTATGTCGTTTTCGGTTATGACATGTTCTGCTCTGGAATGTTCTGGGATGCTCTGTTATGATCTGTTTTGTCATGGGATTGATATGATATGTTCTGTCATGTTCTGTCATGTTCTGTTCAGTGCGGTCATGTTATGTTTTGTCATGTTGCGGTCTGTCGTGTTCGTCGTCGCTATGCTCTGTTGTCTTGTTACGATATGGTATGCGATATGCTGTGTCTGGGTATGAAATGTTATGTCACGGTGTGGTCTGTTATGATCGGCGATGTCATGTGTGTCGTGTTATGCCGACTTCTGTTATGGTATGTTATGGTACGGCATGCTATGTGATGGCATAGTATGTTCTGCTGTGTCATGGCATTGCTATGATCTGTTATGTCATGATCTGTCATGCTCGTGTTATGGTATGTCATGCTATGTAGTGTCATGCTGTATTCTGTCGTGTTCGTCGTTGCTTGCTCTGCTGCCGTGTTCTGATATGGTATGTGATGCTGTGTCAGGATTTAATGTGATCTGTCAAAGTGTGTCATGTCATGCTCGGTTATGCTGTGTTGTGTTGTGGTATGTCGTCTTTTGTTATGGTATGTTTTGCTATGGTATGTTATGTGAGAATATGGTATGGTCTTTGTCATGACACTGATATGCTACGTTCTGTCATGTTCTATCATGCTCTGTTCCGTTATGTCATGTTCTGTTCTGTCATGTTGTGTTCGGTCGTGTTCGTCGAGGGCGCCAGGCGGGACACCCGGGACTCTCGGAGACTGGCGGTCGCGGTAGTGTGCGGAGGGGCTGGCTGGCGGCGAGGCGGGATGCCTGAGTTCAACGGGACAACTTGGGGGTTTGGCGGCCGCGGTGTGCAGGGTGGGGTTGGCCGGGCGAGAGGCGTGATACCCGGGATCACGGGGAATACTTGGAGTCCAGCGGCCGCGATGTTGGGGGGCAACGATAGGGGTGAACTGGCATAGGGGGGGGTGGATCGACCTGGAATCGGCGATACATCGCCGATAGAACGGCGATAGGCCCCCGATAGTGAATCCGACCCTTCCTGTGCAGGTTGGTGCTATCGGACCCCTATCGGCGATCAATGGGCGATGGGGGGTCGATGATCCCCCCATATGCATATCGCCCCCTATCGTTGCCCATGAGGTATGCAGGGTGGGGTTGGCAGGGGGGCCTGCG